ACCCCAGAGGGATTTCCGGCCAAATTTGGCCATTTTTCAGGCGATTTTTACCCAGTTTTCACTTGGTATCATCATGGCGTCATCCCAGCTTCCATTTCCATCCGAGTTTGATGGTCATTGGTCGTGATTTCATGACAAAAGTTCATGTCGAGCCCGAGGGCACCCACGGTGGAATCCGCCAATTCTGAAGTAATTTCTTCCAATTGACACTACTCATACACTTCCCTTGAGGCCTAGAATAATGCCCAATCGTTGGTTGGAGCGGCGGAGTTGGATTGAAGACGAATTGAAGAACACCACAATTAGGGTTTCGTACGGGTTTGATGAAATTGAAGTGTTTCCAGGCCAAATTGGCCTTGGCCGCAGGTATACAGTTTGCTCTACTCATTTAGATCTTCAATTCTGTATTTTTTGAGAATTTTTGGAAATAGTTGGATTTTCCGGCGAGCCGGGGCGGCCGACCGCCACCCGCGGCGGCGCGTGCGGCGGCGCGTGGCCAACGGGCCGCCAATGTCATTCTTAGCATGTGTTTAAGGTTCTAGGTTCAGTTTTAATACTTGATGGACTTAAATTGAGTAATTGAACCTAAGTTCGTTTCGATTCGTGGTTAGGTGAAAATATGAATTGACGATCCGACCGTTGGATCGTCACCAAACTTTGCTACGTTGTAATACGTAATATTTGAGGATTATAGGAACTTACGGATTGGGAATCTGATTTACGGATCTTCCGGAATTGGAGTTGTAAGTTCATAAAATAGAATGTTAACCGTCACTTGGTTTTGGAAATTGACGGAGATCCGACCGTTGGATGGTAATGAAATTTTAGGATGGTATCCTAGAGGTATATTGTGGACCTCTGGAAATTATGGATTTGAAATCTGAGTTGCAGATCTTCCAGATCGAACTACGTAGTGACGTGTTTTATATAAGTTATATATTCTATCGATATGAATTCTGAGGTTTGATTCGATTATCGTTCTAGGCGCTGATCGTTATGACGCTTTGATGGTGGTGCTACGGAGTTGTTGGGCGAACTCCAGGTGAGTGAGCAGTTTTGTTTTCGTATTACCTATATACTATTAATTGTCCCAGAAATTGAATTTATATGAAAGTATGTTTTCATTTGCCATGATGCATATTATAAATTATATGAATTGATATTGATGCATATATATATGTGGATTGGTGTTGTGGACGCACAAGTGAGTATCAGGTGAGTTTATATGGTTTATATGAATGAATGATGATGTGATTGCGTTGTGAGCTCATAAACTGCACCTTGGTATTAGTGCTTATAGTATTCACCACACCGCACGCTCGCCTTGGATCCAAGTAGGTGGATGTCGTACAGACCACTAGAGGTGATTCAGACATGCCAGTCGTACAGACCATTAGAGGGGTTCCGACTGGTGGGTGACCTTAGATTATGTGCACAGATGATTGATGAGAGAAGCACTAGAGCGTATTATTTCACCATCTTAGTCGTACAGACTACTATAGGTAGTTCCGACTTATGTGCAGTGTAGTGCCGTACAGGTCACAGTTGGTGACTCCGGCAGGGCCGTACAGGTCACAGTTGGTGACTCCGGCTGGATGGGATATTGAGCTATAGAATCAGCCGTACAGGACCACTGTAGGGTCTCCGGTTGATTTATTATTTCGCCTGATTTATATTGATGCATTATTATTATATTTTGGTATGTCATGGCATATTCTTTCTGAGATGTTATATTGATAGATGACGGGCTGAGTTTTGATGATATGTATATATATATATGTTTATATTCTATTTTCTGGGAAAGTATACAGGTTTTTCGGCGAGGGGTTAGAAATGTTTAAAATGAAATGTTTTCGAAAAACTTTGTTTTACTGACCCACTCAATTTTGTTTTGCGCCCCTCCAGGTTCTAGATAGCAGAGCTTTGGTGGCCACGAGGAATCCAGCGGTGTTCTGACAGAATTCACAAAAGTAGGACTCACCCTCGGATGTTTCATCTTAGTAATTGTATTTTTGTTTAAAGCTTCCGAACTGTGTAATTGGTTACGTCACTCTCACGTGACGGCCAGCATACCCTCCTTCGGGACGGGGTGTGTCAGTCAAAGTTCAAGCCCATTTTTTCTTTCAATGGTCCATCTTTCCAATCACTTTGTACGATGAATAAGATGTTATAAAGTGTGTGAAACTTCCCAACTTGGCCAATGTGGGACAAATGAGATGAAGGGAAATTTCCACTCGAAATCTCCAACATGCAAAACTTAAAGCTATTATTCATGTTGTTTATATAGCTTTGGAGAAGGTTGACATTCTCTTTGGATTAAGTGTGATTTTTGTTTAGTAGTTCATTTTCTTTCAAATGGATCTTCTTAGGTGCCTTGACGTTTATCGGTTGATTGGGTAAATTGTTGTATCATCCTCTCTTCCATGCATGCATGTTCAATTTTTTCACATTTATAGTGAAGAAAATCAGGTGGCAGATTGTTTGGCAAACTATGGTGTTGGTCATGTTTGGGTTCAGTGGTGGGATTTTTGTTCGCATTGTACAGCTGCGGCTTTAGTTCATAAACTTTCATGGTTTTCAAATTTTCATTTCTCTTAGAAATTCTCTTAATTGATTTTAGTTTCTAATAATTTTCTACTTTTTGTTAGGGTTTGGCTTCATATCTCTTCTAATTTATTGTATCTTTTTTTTTTTTCTTCAATATATATTCACAATAATGTTTTTTTCTATTATAGCAATTGTGAAGTGGATGTGATATTATTATTTTAATTCAAAAAATTCAAAGAATGTTTGATGGTCAAATAGAATTTGAATAAGACAAAGGACGCCATCAAGGCTAAGATTGGGGCAGGGGCTACAGCCAAGCTTTGCAGTGAAGCCATCTACTTCGGGCTGGTTTGGTTTTGCTGTGCTTTGAAAAAAAAGTTGCTGTGAGAATAAGCGGTTGTGCTATGAGAATAAGCAGTTGTGAAATAAATCAGTAGAGTGTTTGGTAAACTTTTATGTAAAACAGTTGTGACTGTGTGAAATGACCAAAAAGGATATAAAATGATTTTTTTTTTAGTTTTTTTTTTAAACCTGAAAACCCACAAAAGTCTCTCTCTCAGATCGGTTTTTCCCCCGTCGGAGGAAACCATTTCTAGGGTTTGGAGATCCCCAAATTGGGGTTTTCGAGGTCAGATTTAAAAGATGCCCAACACCTGGGAGGTGAAATCCGAGATTTAAAGGATGCCCAACGCCTAGGAGCTTCATTCGAATCAGAAAATTTCCAATTCTTCTACCCACAACCCAGAAAACCCTCAAAGTCGGCGCCCTCACCGTCTTCAATTGCACCCTCGCAAGGACATGAAGCATTTCGACAGAAAACCCAGAATACCCATAACCCAAATTCGACGTCCGCTCTGTCCTCCTTGACCCCACCACCGGCGCACTCTCTGGACTCCGCCCTGGAGGCATCCTCGTCGACATGACCACCTTTGAACCCTCCCTCGCTGTCAAGATCTCCTCCCTCGCCGTTGACTCGATCTTCGCCCACAAGTCCGGTGTGGGTCTTTTCATTAAAGGAGCACTATAGTTCCGTGTGCTTTGAAAAAAAGCCAGTTTTCCAAAGCAGCAAATAGTTGTTTCAGCTTTTCCTTTGATTTCAGCTTATTCTCACAGCAGCTTCCAAAATAAGCCTTTTTTTTTAGTTTACCAAATACCTAAAACCCTCACAGCTTTTTTTTCATGGGTGCTTTTTTTTAAGCACCTCACTCCCAAACCACCCCTTCATTGGAATTGGCACTCTATTGTTAGACAATGGGCGCGTGTTGCGCTATTGGTCTTTTCCTTCAACGACTTCATTGGGTTACGCCAATGAAGAAATATGATGGGCTCCATCACTTGAAGATGAAGTTATACGACATGGGATTGCGCCTATAAGAAAACATAATACATGTCACATCGACACTAGCCTTGACTAGTGAAGCTGTCCGACATTGATTTGGTCAATGAAGCTGATAGTATATCATAAAGTACCTTGATACACGTAAAGTGGGTCATATGATCATAGACAGATACATACTCGATCCCTGGGCGGCAGTGGGATTTTTGTGTTAAAGAGTCAAATAATTTCAGTAGTTTTAGAATAAGGCTTATTGTAATAGGTAGTTGAAGCACAAGAAGCCATTAATACCTACAAAGAAACCCTGATAGTTGTAGGAAAATGAACCTACTAGTTAGAGAAATTAATTACAATTATTGGTACCAATAATAGGAAGATCCAAAAATGGCAATAATGTAAGAAATTCTATACAGCGTAATCTAACCGTAGTAAGGTGCCGCCACTCAGTATTATGGTCTAGATGTATTTCTCTTCACTTGTAAGTGAGAGGTCTTAGGTTCAATTCTCGTCAAAAGAGAATTTGAATCACATTATTGTTTGTACATCATGGACATGGTCAATGAACATAATGCTTGTACATCGTAGATGCATTCTTATCTTGGAAAGCTTTGTAATTCAATTTTTATTTATCCAACTTTCTGCTTCTCCTTTGATGCACATAATTAATTCAGTTGGGACGATGCTATTAAGGCTGATAAACATCGAGAGAAGTATCTTGGTCACAGCATCAAGGGCGCCGGTGGGAAGATGGCAAAAAGGTGACATGTTTTGTTCCTTCAAATTGTGCTATAATCATTCATTTCCTCATTTCAAACCAACTATTCAATTTGGTTTCAAGTTGCAAGTAGCTTCGTGATTCTTCTGACAAATAGTCGAAGCCTCCGCAGTTCAAATACGTGTTGTGCCATTGCTGTCCTTTCTCAAGAGGCAAGAAAAGAGGCAATTAATTCTTGAATGCCCAACAATTCTCATGCTTTGAACCATATTTGGTAGTAATAGTATTCTCCTCTCCCGGTATTTCTCGACGAGCAAATTGGTCCCAAATATCAAGTATGAATACCTTTTCGAGCCCCAAATCCAATTCGAAATCAATAATTTACTATTTAACGTTAATAAATGAAAACCCAAACAATTATAACTTCTTATATATAAATAAAAAAGAACACTGTATCATTTAAAACTTTAAAAAAAATGAAGAAGAAAAAACAACGCACACAGAGAACACCATCAGAAGCCCCAAACACCAACTTACTAAAACAGAAGAGACACCTCACCCAACCGCAACCAGAAATTGTGAAGGATACCCACGGTCCACCCCTATACATATATATACGAACTTAGAATACAACTACATACTCAAGTTAGGCATCGCAGAAATAGCAGAGGGATACCTCAGCACATTCTTCTGGTTAAGCTGCAAGTACTACTATCACAATGAGAAGCACAATTCCAAATATTACCAAGAGCAAGCAAGTCTGCAAAAAATAAAAACATTAACTTTAAAGTGATTACATAATATATTTGTAAGGGAACTGAAAGAGATCGGCAATATTTCTTAAGTGGGATTAAATGCATTATTTCATGTGTTTACGGGATCTGAAAATTCATGTCGATGCCTAATGAAGAATGTTGTAGCTGTGCTGTGAAAACTATCATGGACCATCAGTTTAACCTGTGAATTTGGACCCCATGTTCATGCAAGAATGAACATAAGAATCATTCATAAAACAACCTAGCAACATAAATTACCAAAGAGTCTCTGAAGCGAACATTTTGAAAAATATATAAATAATTACACTTAGATGTAGACTGTCATATAAAAAAATGTGAACAAATTACCAGAGATGAATTCGATCTTTGGGTCTTTGACGCCTTCACTAGATGGGACTTTGCCTGCCCAGTAGCAGCATGAGCACTCTCAATATTGGAGCCAATGTCATCTACAAAGCGGATATAACCGATAAGAAAACACAAGCCAGATAAGTATAAGTGCCTTCAAGAGAGTAAGGAGAAGGTAAGTTACCAATCATTGTTCCTTGTTCATGAACCAGTATAGCAAGATCTTTAAAAATCTCATTCACTTCACCAATTTGCTGCTGGATTTCTTGTATTCCCTGTTCTCTTTCCTCGATGATAGCCTCATTGAAAGCAATCTCATTGTCCAGTAGCAAGACCTCTTGTCTGCAGCAAAGCTCACTTATAACCAAAGATATATGGCACATCCAACCTTGATAAGAGTTTTAAACTGAAGTAGATAAATCAAACAACAATCAAAGACAGCTGATGCTAAGGCTCCCACTGCCAACTATTTTTGTATCATTAAGGACAGAAAAAAGGCATTGGAAGTTTGATGTAGAACAACACAAGGTGTGTGCGGCATGATTATTCTGATCTTCAGATGTCTTAAAAAATTTGGAGGGGGAATGCTAGCCACCTTCTCACTTTTCCGCCAGGTGTCAATTTTCTTGCACCTAAAACTATGCATTCAATCCCTAAAATTAATTAAATTTTGTTTTCCAAATTTACCCATCTTAAATGTAATAAGTCTTCATAAACTCTTTCCCTTGCTAATTAAAAAGTGAAATTGACCGACTGCTCCCCTCCATCGTTTCCTTTGCCAATGGCACAATATCATATATTCAGATAAACCACCCTAACTACTAATTATCATATGGCCTTTCTAATAAGAAAGGAATACATGTTTTCTGGGATATAACTTTTTCTAATAAGAATGGAGGTGCAATGAGGTTTGTTTGTACCATACTTGACCAATCTCAAAACTACCAAGCACCGGTCAACGTCATACCGTCAAGAACCCACTAAGGGGTTCATGCTGAAGCATCCCTGCCGAAGCACAAGAGTTTCCCTCCAATCAGGAGGCCAATCACAGCATGACACATGTCAACATCAGAATAAAGCTCATAGAGTCCCACATCGACCATGGACAGAAGCTGGAGACTCTCCTCAACTATAAAAGTAGACCATTCTCCTACAATTAATCCCTAATGTCATTATTGTACTTAAACTAGTCATTATGCTTAAACTTATGTATTTGTGTAACCCTTCACTATTAATGAGAACTCCTCTACTCCGTGGACGTAGCCAAACTTAGGGTGAACCATGTACATATTACGTCTGCTTCCCGATCTCTATCCCTTGCATATTATCCTCACTAGGTGACCGAAGCAACCAAACGAGGACCACAAACCTGACACTTTACGTTGTTCCAAAGTCTTGCTGATTTTGTGCATCAACAAGGTTAGTGCCGATGCAATTCCCTTTTTGAGGGTGGTTTTGAAATGGTACGGTGGTTCCACCACCTTATGTTTTATGACCATGAAAAGAGATGGTTCAGTTTTTTATGTTTTGTCTTTTGGCAGAAGAGAGTATTAATTGTAGACAATTAAAGACTGAAACAACCTTGACCCAAGTGACTTGTATGGTTCTTCAAAACACTAAAAGACTAGTTAAATAATAGAAAAACAATAGACCACTCCAACAGACAATGGAGATGCAAAAAATTTCAAAGATAGCTTCTAGACCAAAATACTAGAAGCACGGTTCTAAAAAACGCTAAGCGCTAGTCGGGCGGTTGAATGGGGCCTAGCGCTTAGGCTGATTTGTAATTTTTATTTATTTAACTAAATTTATTATAACAGAAACTAGGTCTACTTAATAAGATGGGCTTTTTTTTAACCCCAATTCAAAAGTGAAAAAGATGATAAAGCATATAAAATGGCCCGTCCCAGCCTAGCCCACCCCACCCTTTCTTTATCACAAGTCTTCTCTCTTTTATTATAAGAATGCCTCATTTCCATCAACTAATTAAAATAGTCAAATCATCCAGATACCTCTCTCGCTTTTATTAAAACCAGCCTCATTTCCGATTCCTCATTTCAACCCCTCGTTTCCATTGCCCAATCCCTCGTTTCCATTGCCTTCACTCTTTTTTCGACAAAGAGAAGCCGCTTGCTCTCCTCTCTGTTTTAGAATCAAGAGGCCTCTCCCATCATCAAACCTCTTCCCCACTTCCACAAGTTACTCCAAACCCTCAACTTTCATCCCAAAATCCTGAATGATCACAACATCGGCATGGCCCGCTGGTCAAGCAGCAGTTTGTGAAGAAATCTGAGGTGGATTCTTTGAACGATCAATGGGGTTTGTATGTATCGCCCCTCTCTCTCTTCTTGACAGATCGCAATGAGATGGAGAACCGCCGAGGTTCTTACGAGTCCGCCTAGACCGCCGCCTACCACCTCCTAGACCGCTGCCTACCACTGCCTAGACCGCCTAGATACCGCCTAGGCAGCCGACTAACTCCCACCCAATTTGATGAACTCTTTGGCATAAATCCCAGTGGCGCTCCACCGCCTAGCGCCTAGGTAGCCGCCTAGGCCCATTTTTAGAACACTGACTAGAAGAACCAAGACACTGAGCTCCAACACCACAACACTCATCAAACACTTCACTCAATCTCATGGTCTGACCTGCACTTTGTTCCAAAGGGATTGCAACCCCACGAATAACAGACTCTAACACCCTATCCCATGACTACCAATAAAATACCCTTTTGCTATGAACCACATTACACTGCACCACTTCCCACCAAAGGCTCTGTCCCTCCACCATAAACCTAAAACTAGACTTGGAGAAGAAACATTAATTTATATTTCATTGATTGTCTCCAGATTATGGTACATAACTCATCGTCTTCCCATTGAACATAATTTCATTCAATTTCCTTTTATTGGAAAATGCACGATTCTACTAGTTTGTATAGAAACAGAAAACTTCAACAGTAAGTTTTCCTGATTGTATTGAATGAATAATTCAGTTACACAGGTGTCAATATATATAGCCTTAGCTGCCTTAGGCTAATTACAAAAGTACCCTCAACTACCTAAACTAATCACAGTTACTAACAAAAACAATTACATTTAGCTTTAACAACTATTTAACAGTAACTATATTGGATGACTTATCATTCTCCCTAATACACCCCCTCAAGCTAAAGGAGGAATCAGATAGGATTCCGATTGGAAGCTTGGAACACAAATAAGAGAATCTGCTTTTAGACAAGGATTTGGTGTGAAGATCAGCCACTTGGTCATCACTGCGAACATAGCTGACTTTGATAAGCTTGGCAAGAACCAACTCCCTGATGTAGTGGTAATCAATCTCAACATGCTTAGTTCGAGCATGAAAAATAGGATTAGATGCCAAAGAGATTGCTGAAATATTATCACACCATAGATGAGGCAGTTTAGGTAGAGAGAACTTAAGATCTTTGAGGATTTTGCAGACCCAAGTTAGTTCTGCAGCAGTATGTGCTAAGGAACGATACTCAGCTTCGGTAGAGGAACGAGCAACAGTGCTTTGTTTCTTTGCACTCCAACTGATGAGATTAGAACCAAGAAAATACACAATATCCACTAGTAGACCGCCTATCAAATGTGCAGCCAGCCCAGTCAGCATCAGAGAATGCCGAAAGATTAATGGGACCTTTGGTGAACCATAAACCATGAGAGATGGATCCTTTAAGAAACCTGAGAACCCGTTTGGCTGCTTGAAGGTGTTGTTCTCTGGGAGCATGCATAAATTGGCATATCTGATTAACAGCAAATGCAAGATCTGGGCGAGTCCAAGTGAGATATTGTAAACCACCAACTATAGTGCGGTATTCAGTAGGATTGGATAAGAGAGGTCCGCTATGATCCAGCTTTTGAGAGCCAAGAGGAGTGCAACACGGTTTTTGCACCCTCCATATTCGATTTCTTGAGAAGATCAAGTAAGTACTTGGTCTGATGTAAAAAGATTCCTTTTGTGGATCTGTGGACTTCCAACCCCAAGAAATAGTGTAAAGGACCAAGATCCTTCACTGGAAACTGAGTACTAAGCTGTTGGATAAACTGTTGGCAAAGCTGAGAGTTGGGTCCGGTGACTAGGATGTCATCCACATAAACTAGGACAATGACCAACTGAGGTCCATTAAGAACAAACAAAGAAGCATCAGATTGAGATTGATGAAAGCCAAGTGTTCGAAGAGCTTGAAACAGTTTTTTCAAACCAAGCTCGAGGGGCTTGTTTGAGGCCATATAAGGATTTCTTCAACTTGCAGACAAAGTGTGGAGAGGTAGGAGCAATAAAAACCAGGAGGTTGTTGCATATAAACATCCTCCTTTAAATCACCATGAAGAAACGCATTGCTTATGTCTAATTGGTTTAAAAACCAATTATCTTGGACAGCAAGTGTAAGAAGAATTCGAATTGTGACGGGCTTAGCAACAGGACTGAAGGTTTCTTGGAAATCAACTCCTTCTTGCTGGTGAAATCCCTTTGCCACCAAACGGGCTTTGTATCTGTCAATGGTTCCATCAGGATTTTTCTTGATCCGAAACACCCATTTACAACCAACAACATTCTGAGAAGGATGAGATGGAACAAGAGACCAAGTGCCTGTGTTTATTAAGGCATTATATTCATCCTGCATTGCTGCTCTCCAGTGAGAATGCTTTGAGGCTTGCAAGTAAGTACTAGGAACAAAATCAAGATCAACCGGAAGTGGGTGTTTGGTTGCTGCATAAGCTCTAGACATGTGAAGACCAGCCTTAGATCTGGTAATCATAGGATGTGTATTCCGAGAAATAGGTGGTGGCCTTGACTGTAGTGGTGCAAGAGAGGAGTCATTGAGAGAGACAGAACTGGAGGAACTGAGAGAATGATCCACGGACTGAGTACAGGAAGAAGGCTCTGTGGAAGATGGGATCTGAGTAATAGGTTGAGGTACAGAAGGACATTGTCGTTCTGAAGAGTTATTGGCTGGAGGAGAAGGAGAGACATGTTTGCTGAAATGAAGATCCAAGGATGGTGAAAAATCAGAAGATGAAGTTTCTGAAGTGAAACTGTTGAGTGGCAGTGATTTAAAGGGATAAGTTGTTTCATCAAAGACAACATGTCTTGATATGTAGATCCGAGTGGTGAGAGGATCAAGGCATCTATAGCCTTTATGTTGAAGACTATAGCCCAAAAACACACAACTTTTGCTCTTAGCATCCAATTTGCTGGGAGTGTAAGGTTTAAGCCATGGATAACATTGACAACCAAAGACTTTCAGTTTAGAGTAATCTGGAGGTTGATTGAAGAGAAGTTCCCAAGGTGACTTTGTAAGACCAGAAATAGGAAGTCTGTTAATAAGGTAAATTGCAGTGGAGAAAGCTTCAACCCAAAAAATCTGAGGAACATGAGAAGCAACAAGTAATGTGCGAGCTGTCTCAACAAGATGTCTGTGCTTTCTCTCTGCACAGCCATTTTGTTCAGGCGTATGAGGACAACTGAACTGATGTAATATACCATGTGCACGAAGAAATGAAGCAAGAGAATGACTAGTAAATTCACCCCCTGAATCTGAACGCAGAATCTTGATTTTATTTCCACTGAAGTTTTCTACATAGGTTTTGAAAGTAACAAACGTAGAAAATACATCGGATTTAGACTTCAATGGAAAAAACCAACTGTATTTGCTAAAATCATCAACAAACAGTAGGTAATACTTGAAGCCACTATTAGATGTAACAGTAGGTCCCCACAGATCACAATGCAGAAGCTGGAGACTCTGAGTTGTTGATGAAGAAGACACTTCAAAAGGAAGCTTGTGATTTTTAGCAAGCGCACAATCTGAGCAGAAAAAATCAACAGTCTTCTGGCCTTGCAGTGGAAGATTATTAGTGGATATAACTCTTCTAAAAATTGAGGAGGAAGGATGGCCGAGGCGCTTGTGCCATACAGGGACAGGTGCTTGAATGCTGAGAAAAGCTGAAGGTGAAGTGGGAGAACTGGTGGAACTGTGAAGAGGATAGAAACCATCCTTAACAGGGCCTTGCAAAAAGCATCTTCCCCGAAATGCGATCCTTGACAGTGGATCCATAAGGGTCAAGAGTCAATGAACAGTTATTATCCTTAAGAAACTGATAAGCAGATAAGAGATTATGTTTTATGAAAGGAACATGTAAAACATTTCTCAGCTTAAAGGAAGTATAAGGAGTGTGCAGAGATGAAGAACCCATATGATGAATAGATAGTCCTTTACCATCTCCAATGTATACTTTGTCTTCTCCAGTGTAAGGAGTAGGAGAAGAGATGTTAGCTACATCATTAGTGATGTGAGAAGTAGCTCCAGAGTCAATCAACCAAGGCTGAGAGGGTTTTGCTGAATGATGCACACACATAGCAGCAAGTTTGGCTGGAGGAATTCTACCACAGATATCCAGATTCATACGATCAAAACAATCAAGTGCCTCATGACTGGTAGATCCACAAATCTGACAAGGGACTTTAAAATTGGAAGGACCTTGATAATTGTGAAAGCCTTGATAATTGCGATTGCCACGATTGTTGATGAAATTACCCCTATTATTGTTATGAAAGGTGCGATTGCTGCGATTTGAGGAGAAATTACCTCTAAATGTCTTACCACGATTTGAGTTAAATCGAGAAGCAGGATGAAATGATTGATTTTTAGCAGCAAAGGCAGATGGAGTAGGAAGCAGGGGAGGCTGAGATTGCACTGAGAATGCTTGAAAGGGCTCAGAGGATGAAAGAACAGCCTTGCGACGGGTCATAGACAACTCTTTGGTGAGTAAGAGACCATGGAGTTCATCAAGGGATGTAGAAGAGAGCCGCAGCATGATGGAGTCAATAAAGGACTCGAATTCATCAGGTAATCCATGTAGAGTGGCAGCAATTAGGTCACGATCAGACACTGAAGCACCAACAGCTTGCAAGGAATCAGCAATTTCCTTGATTTGTTGAAGATACGCAGAAATGGACTGAGAACCTTTCTGAATTGATTGAAGTCTGGACCTTAATTGATGAATGTGAGCTTCCGAAACTCCACCAAAACGCTGTTCAAGCTTTACCCAGAGCTCACGAGAAGAAGAAACTCCAACCGTGAACGGAATGATCTCTTCGGACAGGGTAGAATTAAGCCAAATCAAAAGATTTTGATCTTTTTCATACCAATCCTCAAAGGCAGGGTTCATCGAGTGATCAGGCAAGAATGGCGAAGGACAAACCTCAGTGCCGTCAATAATACTAAGAAGCTTGTATCGCCTGAAAATTGGAGCAAACAGTGCTCGCCATGGCAGATAGTTGGAACTTTTCAGCTTGATCGGCACCATACTGCCAATGTTGTGAATCGTCAGAGAGGTATACGAATTCAGAGGACTCGGATTGGAAGAGGAATTAGGGTTTTGAACCGAAGGAGAGATGACCGGAGAGATGACCGGAGAAGACGATCCAGTCGGTTGCGACGCAGATTGAGCAGCCATAGCTTGCAGAAAACAAGATTCAAGAGAGATCGAGAACAAAAAGTGAAGAATCAGAGAGAAGAAAGCAAGAATCGATCAAGACACGATCGAGATGACGAGCAGAAGAGAAGGTCGGTGCTGTAAAGCAGAACGGCTCTGATACCATATAGAAACAGAAAACTTCAACAGTAAGTTTTCCTGATTGTATTGAATGAATAATTCAGTTACACAGGTGTCAATATATATAGCCTTAGCTGCCTTAGGCTAATTACAAAAGTACCCTCAACTACCTAAACTAATCACAGTTACTAACAAAAACAATTACATTTAGCTTTAACAACTATTTAACAGTAACTATATTGGATGACTTATCATTCTCCCTAATAGTTTGCCCCTCGTCTTTCCTTCTTCTTTTCCAACGGAAATTCTACTAATGCCTTTCAGCATTTGATTTGGAGTTACGTTTAATGTTGTTTTAGAATAATGACCCCTTTTCTGCAAAAACAGTTAGAATTCCTTATCATTATTAAGTAAAACTCACCTTCTAGATTCCACAAGGAGAGCACGCTGTTCCAGACTTTTGTCTGAGTTTACATCTATCTCGCTAGCGGTGTAACTGCGTGAAACATTTAGAATAATCATACAACTTCAGATTGAGGTCCTCCAACAGTAGATGTAATGCAAACTAAACAAAACAAAAATATCTTCTGAAAGATATCACATAAATAGTGCACACAAATAAAAGACGGGAATTAATTGTATAAATCCTCTGGCAAAAGTTACCTTGTCGGAAGAACTGCTTGAGGAACAAAAGGAGCATATGTTGTTTCCCTCTCAGCTGCAAGTCGTTGAGCCTTCTGAAATTCTCTAAGCACTGCTTGAAAATCTTTTGCAAGTTTAGCATCTGTAATCTTCTTGCTTGCCTACAATTAAGTTGAAGACATCTAAGATCATCACACCAAAAAGTTTGAGATTTTCAAAGACCGACCCGCAATAGAGAACAAGAATGCACCATTTCAAATGAATCAACTACATCAATTTCGAGGGGCCAATAAGGAAATTCCCTAGAGTAAGCTAATCAGATTTTACCTAGTTATGATATTTTGATAGGGTAAAAGTCCGACATTAATTTTAGATTTCGTAACGTCAATACTATCTTTGTTTCGACCTGATTCCAAACACAATAATCCTTAGTGGGTGATAACTGTGGTACTTGTTTCGGTGATTCTGGAGCATCTACAAGGCTTTCCAAGACTAATTGGCCTAGCAATTAGTGCTGGAATTGGTTGGTAACAAACCAACTTTTGCTATACCACCCCAGACGGTCGGAGCGGATTGGCTAGGAGGCTTACCAACTGGGAGGAAGAGAAGAGAAAGACAGACGAAGGCGAGGCATGCTGGAAGATGATAGCAGACCTGAAACCCCCCTAGACAGCAAGGAAATGGAATTGATTACGCTAGAATTTCTTCTGGGATTGGATTTGGGATCTAGGGTTTAATCAGAAATGAGGAATTTGGATAAAATTGGATGTGGAAATGATGAATTTGGGAATTTGGAAGGCATGTGTCGCTACTTTTGGGTGTGTCTGTGTGTGTGAGAGACGGATGGAGGAAGGAGGGATGAGAGTGACAGAGAAACTTACATTAACTTCGGTATGATGATCTCTTTCACTGACTTGTTTAAGTTTTTCTGAAGTATCCTTCACCAATTGCCCGATATGTAGTCTTGTCTTGTGCCTGCAATCAGGAAAAGTCAAACGGAATTCAGGAAACAATACACAATCGACAATTGGAAGTGAAGAACCAACTCACAGCTTTTCGCGGAGATCCGGCGTGTCTTTGGGGGTGCCGATGGTGTTGACGAGCCTCTGGAAGGTGGATACGGCGGTGTTGATCTGGAAAATGCCGGAGGCCACAGCTTGGGTGGGGTCCCGCTTGCCATTGATGAGGTCTCCTCGCCGGGAATAATTGGTGCCCCGACCCGCTTCCAGATCCCGAAAGCTCATCTTTTTTGTCCCTCCCCGACCCTAACCCTACTTTTCCCGATAAAATCCCGACACGAATTTCAAGGAAATAGAAGGAAAATTGGTGTTCGGGGCACAGGAATTGAGAATTGGGGCGAAAACGGGAGCTAAGGAAGCGGCGATGATTCGGGGGAAGAGAGGGGGGGAGAGAGAGAGACAGAAGGTATTATTGATGCGGTGAGGTTGTCTTTTCTGGTGGAGCTGGAACGGAAGCCGGTGCCGGCACGTCGATGTGTACACGTGGGTGAAGCTGATAGGTCCGGCTTTCAAGGGAATGTTGAGTTCAATTCCCGTATACAATGTGCCACTTCAACATTCTTCGAACGACTGGTAATTTGCTTTGCATTTAATTTATAAATTATTCTGTAAATAATAATTTAATTAAAATTAAGATTATTTAGTCAATCAATTTTAACAAATACATCAACGGCTCGTAATACATTTAACAAATATGTTCATCTGTTTTTATAAAATTCGATGATTAAATGATTTTAGTTTTAATTTATTTTTTGTAGAGGTGTTTTTTATAGAATAATATACAATAGGAATAGTTTCAATCATAAACACAAAATTCTATGAATAAGCCACAAAATACTTTAAAGAGGAGTTCTTTCTTAATCCTCGAGGAGCAAGTCTCTCCTTCATTTTTAATTCTTCTTAGCACGCGCTCACGCGTCCTAGAGAAATAATTATCGGTGTCGCCAAACTTCAACTTAATACGATGCTACTAAAGGGACACATAATTAATCTGAGTTAGATTGTACAATTGTCATATGGTTGTAATCATTGTAACTAGTTAATTAGATGTGATTAGTTACTCAGCTTTATTTGTAAAGTGTATAAAAACTCGGATGTAATTTCTTCCATATTAAGGAAAGTAACAAAGTATTCTTTCTAATATGGTATCTGTAAACACAAAATTTTCCTGAAACGAAAGAGACAAGAACAACGTGCACAAAATAATATTTGTATTTGATGATTTTGGGTTACAATATCTCTTAACTTGATCCTCTGATTCGATATCCGTAAGGTGTTGATTTGTGGATGTGCGATTGATCCAAAGGGCCGTTGGGGCTTGATCTTAAGATGAACAAATGATGAACGATGAACGCTTTCTTCAAGGCTTTTGGGGCTTGATCTTGAAGAACTGTTGATGAACGGATCTTCAAGGGCCTTTGGGGCTTGATCTTAATGAACAGTTGATGAATGGATCTTCAAGGGCTTTTGGGCTTAATCTTGAAGAACAGTGATGAACGGATCTTCAAGGGCTTTTGGGCTTGATCTTGAAGGATGGTTGGATGTGTGGATTTGTCGACATTTGTTGATCCAAAAGGCCATTGGGGCTTGATCTTAGGATGAACGGATGATGAACGATGAACGCTTTCTTCAAGGCTTTTGGGGCTTGATCTTGAATTGGTGGAAGTTCTTCAAAGGGGCCATCGGGGCTTGAGCTTGGAGGCGGATTTGGCGAAGAACGAAGAGAGTTTTCTCGATCCTTCGGAATTTGCTTAAGAGCTTTAGAGTTTCAAAGCTTCAAGGTTTTGGTGTAATATCCATTGGTCAAATGAAATGAATGAAATTGGCTTCTATTTATAGAATTTTCCAAGGCTTAATTTTGAATATAATATTCCAGATGAAATAAGTTGTTTCTACCAAGTGTTGACACGTGTCCTGTTTGATGACTTTTCCGACTCATTTCAATTTTTCGTCGAGTCACATGCTACGTGTAAAATTTATGTAATACATAAGCGTTGAAACTTTGATTTATCAGTCAACATTTATTTACCAAAATTTCGATGTCTACAAATGCCCCCACTTCAAGGCGCGTCGTATACATGTGCTTGTCACGTGTAGGAGATGCGTTTTGAAGTCCCTTATTGTAGATGTCGATCCAAGGGCCGTTGGGGCTTGATCTTGAATTGGGCTGGAAATTTCTTCAAGGGCCGTTGAGGCTTGTTCTTGAACTTTGTTTGAAATTTCTTCAAGGGTCGTCGAGGCTTGATCTTGAAGGTTGAAATTGGACCACAAGGAGCTTCATGTGGTAGATGATCTTTTGGCTTTGGTAGTGGATGAATTGGCACGTATTTGTTTTTGCGCTTGTTGACTTTCCACAGCTTTGATCTTGAACTGGGTTGGAGAATTTTCTGGATTCCTCCAATTGTTGACTTTCCACAGCTTATTCTTGAACTAGATTTGATTCAAGGGTGGTGAATCGACACGTGCAGCCCACAACGCCTAGCGAGTTGACCCAAGAATTTGAGGGTCAAAACGAGTCCTCCACCCAGAGTGATCGCAACCCTGATGATATGAGATACTTTTGATTTTGAAGAAGTAGCAAATGAATCGACACGTGCTTTGTTGTGCTTGTCTCCACATGCTTCAATGTATCATTTTCCCTTCCTTATATGTTCTCCAGGCAAATGTGGCATCTTCTCGAGTTCCTCAGCTCAGACTCCTTCTGCTAAGTTGACTATGCAAGCTGCATTCTTCTCTGCTTGTTTCTTCTGCACGTTCTCTCCACATGCTGCAAGGTATCATTTTCACTTGCCTTATCTGTTCTCCAGGCAGATGTGGCCACTTCTTTGGAAGTACAGCAACAGTGGAAGACGAGTACTCGAGAGCAATGCCAGGTAAGCAACCAGGCAAAGGTTCCAGGTAGTCGATTCCTTACTCGAGTTTGAGTGGAGGTTCCGGCATATTGCTTTCTTTATCTTTGTCTTTGTAGGTAAGAATAAGGACAAAGAAAAGGACAGGGAGAAAACATGATATGAGATACTCTTTCTTTCTACCCTGGTAATATGAGATACTTTTGCTTTGGTGTCATTTGTTTGCAGAGGTACCCCAAGGAATAAGGAACACTGAGTGACTCGAGAGGCTTCGTTGGGAAGGCATTCTCGGAGATGAAGAAAGGTTTTGTATATCTGCCTTGCTATGGAGGGTGAAGGTGGACAGTTATAGGAAGTTCTTTAATACCTGTAAAGGTACTATTCTTTCACTCGTGTCAGCAACCATTGAGTGATTGATCAGTATGGCTTCACGTGCTTTCTTCTTTATCAAAAATCTTCGACAAATTGTCCGTAATTTCCGCCAAGCTGAGTGTGCATGTGACAGGTGTTGACGAGGCTGAAAAAGATTGGCGCCTCTTCGATATCTGGGATCAGCGCTTCGACAAATTACCCGTGATTTTCGCAAAGCTGAGTTTGCGTGTGACGGGTGCTGACGCGTCTAGAAAAGCAAGATGCCTCTCCGATTTCTGAGCTTGCCTCTTCGATTTTTGAATTGGCCTCTTCGAATTCTGAGCTCGCCTCTTCGATCTCTGAAATCCCGTCGAGTGCTGATTTTTATAGAGGCACGCAGTTCGTTTCAAAGCACACTTGAATTTTTTGCTTGTAGAAACTCCCTTCTTGCACTTCTAAGATCTTGATTTGTCCGACCTCTTCTTTCTTCAACACTTTTGAAAATGTTTGGACCCTCCGACCGTCGTTTTGACTTGAACCTTGGTGAAAAGGCAGTCCCACTTTCTCTAGACAACATATGGTGCCCATCCTTCATATCCCCTACTAGTCCTCTTACCGTTGAGGATTCGGTGATGAAGAATGACATGATTGCTGCAGTGGTGGCCAAGAACCTTGTCACTCCCAAAGATAACAGACTACTTTCCAAACGGTTTGATGAGTTAGTTGTTAAGGATTCTCTGGCTCTCAGTGTTCAGTGTGCAGGTTCTATGTCTAATATGGCCCAACGCCTATTTGCTCGAACCCGTCAAGTTGAACCATTGGTGGCTGAAATGATGAGTCTCAAACAAGAGATTAGAGGGCTCAAGCATGAGAATAAACAGTTGCACATGCTCACACATAACTATGCTAGCAACATGAAGAAGATTATTGACCAGATGCAGGAATTTGATGGTCAGATTTTACTTGATCATCAGAGGTTTGTGGGTTTGTTCCAACAGCATTTGCCTTCGTCTTCTGGGGATGTACCGCGTAATGAAGCTCCAAATGATCAATCTTCGATGCCTCTTCCTCCTGGAGTTTTGCCTAGTACTGAGGCTCTAAATAATCATCCTCTGGTGCCTCTTCGATCTGGGGCTCTGCCGACTGCTGAGACTTCTCATAAGCAACCTTTGGGAAAGCTCCATCTTGTTTGTTTATTTGTTTTATTTGTTTTTTTTTAACTTATGTAAAACGTACATTTATGTAAATTTTTAGAGAAATCAATAAAAGAGCCTTATTTCATTCTGTGTGTGTGTGTGTGTGTATATTTCTTAGTGCCAAAAGCATAAAGAAATTATCATTATTATTATTATTATATTTTTCATGGTTTTCAAAACACTATCCTAAAAAGATATATATATATTGCACATGGTGCCAGATGCACCATCCATTTTTTTTATTTTCTTTTCTTTTCCTCTTATTTATTTATTTTTTTTTTTGTTTTTTTTTTGTTTTGTTTTTTGCACATGGTGCCAGATGCACCCTTTTTTTTTCACGTGGTGACAACACCACTTTGCTCCACTATCCCATTTTTTATTATATTATTTTTTTTGTATAAATTTTGATGATGGGCGAGGAATTTGTAGGAAGGACGAAGACGGACAGAGAGCTGCAGTCGAGGCTTCATGACTGGCTAGTCGTTTAACGGCGGTTATTGAAGTTCTTCGCCATTGCTGTTTGCCACGGACGGAAAGCTACAGTCGAGGCTTCATGACCGGCTAGTCGTTTGACGGCGGTTATTGAAGTTCTTCGCCATTGCTGTTTGCCACGGACGGAGAGCTACAGTCGAGGCTTCATGACCGGCTAGTCGTTTGACGGCGGTTATTGAAGTTCTTCGCCATTGCTGTTTGCCACTGCCACTGCATTTTTTACAACCTTGCAGAGGAAAAGACGGACGATGAGCTGTACGAGGCAAGAGATGGAGGAGATGTGGACAGACGGTGCCAACGCTTTGGAGCTGGGTTCCTCGCTGGGCTTAAGCGTTGCACAACGGAGAGGGTGCCCAGATGATGCACTGCATCACCACCACTTGCACCATGAAGCTGCCGTTGCGGGTGAAGTTGGTCCAGAGGCCGTTATGGCTGTATGTCGCAAAGACGGAGGAGCATGGTGCTTAGAAACTGGAGCGGAGCATGGAAGATGGTGGTGGTGTCAATTTGAAGCTTGAGCTCAGTGGCGCAGATGATATATGCGGCGAGATCTAGACGAAGGCGACGAAGATGGAGTATGCGCCAGTGAGGTTGTGGCTGTCTGGTCATGAAGGAAGTCAGCCTGCTTTTCTGGTGACGGCAAGCTTGCGAGAAGATTCCA